GATCTTGTTCAGAGTGACCAGCTGACGGTACGGTACATCGCCTCAGATTGCAACCTCGCCGACCTCTTTACCAAGGCTCTCGGCAAGGCTGACCACCATCGCCTTCTCCGTTCCATGGGGCTATGTGCTCTTTGACCGGGTTTGCAGTCTATGGGGGTGTGTTAGAAATAGACTGCAAATACCACTTTTGTATTTGTACTTTTATATCCTAGTTTAGGTTATGAATGTTCTAGTGGGTTGGGGTGTACTCACAAATCCCAACCTCACCCAATTGTGATCCCCCCAATCTCCAGTTACCCAATTGGAGATTCCGGAGATCCCAATGGGGATTCCCTCCAATTCCCCGTTCATCCACTCACTCTCACCTTGCCATGTACTTATAGAGCCTTGGGCTCCTTACCTAATCAATCATTTCAACTCTATTTCTTACATCCGGATCCGGATCGATCGACCGGGCCCCAGTCGGACCCAAATCGATCGACCGGACCCATCCGAATCCAGCCCCATCCGGATCCGAATCGATCGACCGGACCCCATCCAGACCCAAATCGTTTGACCGGACCCATCCGAATCCAGCCCTATCCGGACCCCAATCAATCGACCGGCCCCATCCGGACCCCAATCGATCGATCGGACCGGACCCATCCAGATCGATCGATCGAACCCATCTGAATCCAACCCCATCCGGATCCGAATCGATCGACCGGACCCCATCCGGACCCGGGCTGATCGACCGGACCCATTCGGATCTGAATGGATCGACCGAACCCCATCTGGCCCCGGGCTGATCGACCGGACCCTTTCGAATCCGAATCGATCGACCAGACGCCATCCGGACCTGGGCCGATCGATCGGACCCATCCGGACCCGGATCGATCGACCGAACCCATCCGAATCCAACCCCATCCGTATCCAAATTGATCGACCGGACCCATCCAAATCCACCCGCCATCTGGCCCCGGATCGATCGACCGGACCCCCTCCAGACCCTGGCCGATCGACCGAACCCATGCGGATCCAACCCCATCCGGGCCCGAATCGATCGACCGGACCCCCTCCGGACCCGAGAGACCCTCTAACTCCCAACCTTAGAAGCCCAAACCCCCGGAAAGCCGACTGGGGGTGGACGCAACGTTTTCATCCCGCCTTCTTGCCTCGATTATTTTATTTCTAATCCCCTCCTTTTATCCTTGATTCCTTAATTCCTTATTTCGTCATTCATCATCCGTATGCACGAATGGGTCGCAAAAAATAAGCGCCCCTTCCATAACGATCCTATCCTCGCGGGCGGCCCAGCTAGGGGGGTCAAATGGAAAGACCCTACCCTTCTAATACGGCAGCCCGCCCCATCAGAGGGAGGGGCCCCGGGACCCAACCCTTCTGATGGGCCAACCAACCCGTCCAGCCAGCGCCCTCGCTCTCAAGCGCCCTTGCCCTTCTCCAATTCCAACAGCCCGCCGCCCCTCCTCACGGGCGTGCGCCCCCCCCCCCTCCTTAAGCCTCAGGCGTTTAGGGTGGGTTGAGGGGGGTCAAGAACAAAGGCTGAATCTCAGCGGATCGTCGCAGCAAGGCTACCCTGCCGCGTACAATACCCCGTTCAGCTGAAGTCCTCTGCAAATTATTAGTTTCCCTGAAATAGTTGCCGCTCTTGTTTCACAAGCGTCTCGGCATATGCTCTTAGGGGCACAATAAGCATCCCCTATTCTTAGCCAGGGTGAGGGAATCCCCATTAGGATACTCGAGATCTCCAATTGGGTAATTGGAGATAAGGGGAATCACCATTGGGTGAGGTTGGGATTTTGTGACTACAACCCAACCCACTAACATTCCGAACCTAAACTAGGATATAAAAGTACAAATAGAAAAGTGGGATTTGCAATCTAGTTCTAAGACACTCCCATACAATGCAAACCCAGTCAAGGAGCACATAGCCCCATGCAATAGAGAAGGTGATGGTGGTCAGTCTTGCCAAGAGCCTTGGTAAAGAGGTCGACGAGGTTGCATTTTGAGGAGATGTACCGTCCCGTAAGCTCGTCACTATGAACAAGATCTCGAATGAAGAAATGACGAAGTTCGATGTGCTTGGTGCGAGAGTGAAACGCAAGATCCTTGGTGAGGTGAATGGCGCTCTGGTTGTTACACCACAGGGTGGGCGACTGCTGAGGGTAGCCTAACTCAGCGAGGAGAAACGACAGCTAGCGTGCCTCTTGAGCAGCCATTGTGCCCAGGTAGAGCTCAGCCTCGCAGAACGATAGAGAGACTGCAGAGGACCGAGTGGAGCGCCAGCTGATATCTCCGCTGCCAAGGGTGAAGCAGTACTCTTGGGAGGAGCGTCTGTCAGTCTGGTCATCAGCCCATGAGGAGTCTGTGTATCCCTTGAGCTTGACTGGAGAGTGTAAGAAATAGAGTTGAAATGATTGATTAGGTAAGGAGCCCAAGGCTCTATAAGTACATGGCAAGGTGAGAGTGAGTGGATGAAGGGAGAATTGGAGGGAATCCCCATTGGGATCTCCGGAATCTCCAATTGGGTAATTGGAGATTGGGGGGATCACAATTGGGTGAGGTTGGGATTTGTGAGTACACCCTAACCCACTAGAACATTCATAACCTAAACTAGGATATAAAAGTACAAATACAAAAGTGGTATTTGCAGTCTATTTCTAACACACCCCCATAGACTGCAAACTCGGTCAAGGAGCACATAGCCCCAAGGAACGGAGAAGGCGATGGTGGTCAGCCTTGCCGAGAGCCTTGGTAAAGAGGTCGGCGAGGTTGCAATCTGAGGCGATGTACCGTACCGTCAGCTGGTCACTCTGAACAAGATCTCGGATGAAGAAATGACGAAGTTCGATGTGCTTGGTACGAGAGTGGAACACAGGATCCTTGGTGAGGTGAATGGCACTCTGGTTGTCACACCACAGGGTGGGCGACTGCTGGGGGTAGCCTAACTCAGCGAGGAGAAAGGAGAGCCAGCGTGCCTCTTGAGCAGCCATTGTGCCCGCGTAGAGCTCCGCCTCGCAGGACGACAGGGAGACTGCAGAGGACCGAGTGGAGCGCCAGCTGATGACTCCGCTACCAAGGGTGAAGCAGTACCCTTGGGAGGAGCGTCTGTCAGTCTGGTCATCGGCCCATGAGGAGTCTGTGTATCCCTCGAGCTTCACTGGAGAGGTACCACCAAGAGTGAGGATGTGAGACTTGGTGGCTTGTAGATAGCGGAGGACCCTCTTGGCTGCAGACCAATGCGAGGCAGTGTAGCGTCCAGGGGAGACGTACCGAGAGAGGACACTAACCGGGTAAGCCAAGTCTGGTCGAGTGCACATCATGGCATACATGAGTGAACCGACTAGCTCAGGGTACGGGTCCTTGCAGGCGTCAGGAGAAGGAACTGGGGGGGCCGTGAGCTTATGCTGTAGTGGGACTGGAGTGGAGACAGAGTTACTGGAGTCCATGTCGAACCGCTTGAGAAGGTTGTCGATGTAGGACTCCTGGGAGAGGGTGATCGTGCAAGCCTGGCGGTCACGAGTGATCTCCATCCCCAGGTAGTTCTTGAGGTCACCAAGATCCTTCATGAGAAGAGCGGAGCTGAGAGCAGACTGGACAGCTGCCATGTCGACTGGATCTCTGGCGGCTAGAATGAAGTCGTCGACGTAGACGAGGATGTAGAAGGGCTCGGAGGAGTGACGAACGAAGAGACTGGAATCTGAGGCAGAGGGATGGAAGTCAAGTGCGAGGAGGACTTCCTTCACCTTGTTGTGCCACTCACGAGGAGCCTGCTTGAGGCCATACACTGGGCGCTTCAGCTTCCACACTGTGTTGGCAGGGTAAGTGCCAGGAAACCCTGGTGGGCGTTCCATGTGAACATCCTCCTTGAGCTGGCCTTGGAGAAAGGCGGAGGAGGCGTCCATGGAGTTGATCTCGAAGTTGCCGCGAGCGGCTATATCAAGAAGAGCGCGCACAGTCGGGAGCTTGGCCGTGGGCGAGAAGGTTTCGAAGAAGTTGAGATACTACTTCTGGGTGAAACCCTTCGCCACGTATCGTGTCTTGAACAGTGGAGCTTTGCCTGGGAGTTGTTTGACTCGGAAGATCCATTTTCCGCTGACGATGCTGACACCGGAAGGGGGAACAACATCGTTAAAGCTGTTGTTGCGAATGAACGCCTCGTTCTCCACATCCATTGCTGCCTTCCACTCCTAATAAGGCCCCGAGAGAGCTTCCTCTTTTGTGCGAGGAGTCGGAATGGTCGGGTTCTCGGTGAAGTTGAGGGAAGGGCAGTCAGTAATGTCCGGAAAGATGTGAGAGAGAAATTGGCAGACCGCGTGAAGGTCAAACAGCTCCTCATGCCTGTCATCCAGAAGTGCACGGGGGGGAATACGGATGGAGGGGACATCACCCCCGGCAGGAGGAGGCGGGGTGACCGAACACCGGATGGAGAAGGCGGCTGGTCCCCAGGCGAGAGGCGGAGCCGGTCCCTTGGAACGAGTGCGACTAGAGACCGGAGACGAAGGCGGCTGCGGTGGGACCGGAGGGACTGGGCGCCTCCGATAGGAGACTGGTGAGCCGGGCTCGACGCGCGGGGAAGGCGGAGCAGGAGGAGGTGCCGCTGCGGAGGATACTGGGGAGGCCGGGTGAGACACGCCGGACGGAGAAGGCCCTGGAGAAGGGGCAGCAGCCGGAGGTGGGGCATCGAAGTCTGCCCAAACAAGCGTAGGGGGAGATGGAGGAGGCTCGCCCGTGGTCGCAGAGTGTAATGGGCGTGTCTCATCGAAGACGACATCACGGCTGCGAATCAGCTGTCTGGTGATTGGGTTGAGGAAAAAGTAGTCTGGGGAGTCGGAGTTGTGCCCTAGGTACATGCAGGTCTAGGTTTTGGGACCAAGCTTGCCACCTTGCTTCCTGCGCGTGTGGGGGCTTAGCAACACATACGTGGTACACCCCCAGACGCGTAGAGAGCGGGCGGAAGACGTGACCCCAAGCCAGAGAGCGATAGGTGTGGTGTCGGGCCGGTGGGGATGCGGATAAAGATTGTAGAGGAGTGCCGCATGGAAGAGGGCATATCCCCAGAGTGACCATGGTGCGTTGGCGTGACTGAGGAGGCAGCGAGCGATCTGAACCAAGGTGTGGTTGCGGCTCTCTGCAATGCCATTCTGCTGCGGGCTTTTGGGGAGCGTGAAGGTTTGCCGAATCCCTTGGGCCGCACAGAAGTTATCGAGTTTGCCATTGCGAAATTCTCCCCCGCCATCAGAATGGAGGCACTTCAGAGGAGTGCCGAACGTGACTTCAGCCTAGCGCACCCACGCCATGATGACATCAAGTGCCTCCGTCTTGGTATGCAGGAGGTGCACAGAAACATACCGCGAGTGGTCATCGACTAGTGTAAAAAAGTACCGATGACCGCCTCGGGATGCGACTGGAGCTGGGCCCCAGACATCCATGTGCACTAGGTCTAGCGGAGCAGCTGCGACGGATGGGGAGGAAGGGTGCGGCTGCTGCGTGAGCTTGCTCTTGGTGCAGTCCAGGCAGGTGGGTGCAGGTGAGTGTGTTGGTGGAGGAAGCGCCGACGGGAGGCCACGAAGAAGTTTCTTGGAAGCGATGTCGGCCAGTGTACGGAAGTTGGGGTGACCCAAGCGATGGTGGTAGAGGATGGTTGGGTTGGCGAAGCTGCGACACGAACACGGAGTGGTGCTGGCAGCTTGCGCTTGGGAGAGGGCGGCGAGAGGTGCAGGTGAACGCAGCATGTAGAGCTTGCTACTGTTGAGTGTGAAGCGTGCTAGGAGCTTGTTGGACTTAGGGTCGAAGAGGTCACAGTGATCCGAGTGTGCTGGGAAGATCCTGGTGACGCCTGCCCGTTGGAGCTCGTATTGGGCCACGAGATTATGGCGTAGTGTGGGAACACACATGCCAGTCACACTGCCCGAAGGAAAAGCTGGGCACGGAACTGTGGAGGAGCCCTTGGCGTGTGTTGTGAAACTGGAGTCTGCTCCAAGTAGACGGATTGGTGTCTCGTATGGCTTGAAGGAGTGTTCTTCCTTGAGAACCGTGTGAGTGGCCCCACTATCGAGGGTGAACTCTATTGTAGCTGAGGTGCTTTGTGAGCCAGGATACTGCGAAATCGTCTCATTAATCATGGCAGTGCCAGGGAACAACATGTTGAGGCGCACATCAGCAGGTGCAGCCACAGCAGCCTGCACGGATTCCTGCGCTTCGACTTGGTTGACTTGGCGAGGAGCACGATTGACCATCCAGCTTGGCGGCTTCGAGGCGGTCCCATTGACGGCATACCACTCATCATCCTTCTTCTTGAAGCAGGAGGCAAGGGCGTGGTTGGTGCCGCCACACACCTGGCCAGCACGAGGGCCGCGCTTGATGACGTAGGGACACGGGGGGAAGCGGTTGCGCTGGAATGGCACCGAAGCGGCATAGGCTTGAGGCACGGGAGCGCGGATTGTATTGGCCTTGGCTTAAGCGCTGTTGTCCTTTTCGGCAGAAAGGAGCGCGGATGAGACCTTGGCAAATGTGAGGTCTGCAGGAGCAAGGCCCAAGAGCATCTTGCGTGTGACTTGGTATGCGGGAGTGAGGCCGACTAGGAGAGCGGCTGCAGGGGCTTGCTCGGGGAAGACTATCCCCAACTGTTTGAGTTCACCATGAATGGACTGCACCTTGGTGACATAGTCCGCCATGCCTGACGAGTCCTCGAGCCGCACTTGGAACATGCTGGGGATGAGTATAGCAACTCCCACTGCAGTCTTGTTCAGGAAGCGATCCTCGAGGTAGAGCCAAAAGGGGTTGGCAGACGGGTAGTTGTGGTAGGTTTCGACGAGTTCGGGAGGAGTGGTGCCCATGAAGACACTAATGACCGCACCATCGGCCTTCTCCCAATTCTTGTACTTGAGCAGTGCAGCAGCATAAACTGCTTCAGCGGCGGCATTAGCTGGATCGGCGGACCTCTCGGGTTTAGGACGCTATTTGCCGTCACCGATGTGGAGAAGGACGTCGGTGAGCTCGAGCCCCTTCACCTCGCGACTGAGAAGGTGCTTGTCGACACCATAGCGCCAAGCCTTGTAGTTGGAGCATGTACCGTCTGGCTCGAGACAAAGGAGCAGGATCGGGTTGGCGAGTGAAGTGGTTGAGTAAGCCATTGTCGGTGTGCAGCGCGGCACTTCTGGAAATTGGGCGACGAGAATTGCTGAAAATCACTCTGACGGCTGTATCAAAATGCCGCTAAGTAGGAAATGGCGTCGGCGAAAATTCGTTAAAACGCCGACTTGAAACTGAATCTGAGCCTATGTCTAACCCCGGACCCACACACCCCCCCACACACCCCCAGGCCCTGTCCCGCAGCTACACAGCTCCGCAACCAGCTCCGCAACCAGCTCCGCAACCAGCTCCGCTCCGCTTCCACCTGTGTACCTGCTCTTGCTTGACACGAGACGTTCGTGGAGGCGATTTCGCGATGGGAGTTCGCCTATTCTGGCGGGGTCTGAGGGGAAACTCGAGAACGAGTTTTAAGAGATGGTCGAAATTGAGATTCGACCAAGGAGAACCGAGGAGAAAATCGACGACGAGAAGCGTGAACGCTTCAGAGATGAGAAATTCAACGAGGTCGAGTGCGAAGGCGGTCGACGATGAGAGGCGCGACTGCAGAGTGGAGCACGTCAAAATTCCGACGACTCGAAACGAATGTCGCGACGATGAAGTGCGCGTAGCGCGGGCACGTTGAGATTAGGACCTTGATCCGCGTGTGCGGATAGGTCGCTCTGATACCATGTAAGAAATAGAGTTGAAATGATTGATTAGGTAAGGAGCCCAAGGCTCTATAAGTACATGGCAAGGTGAGAGAGAATGGATGAAGGGGGAATTGGAGTGAATCCCCATTGGGATCTCCGGAATCTCCAATTGGGTAATTGGAGATTGGGGGGATCACAATTGGATGAGGTTGGGATTTGTGAGTACACCCCAATCCACTAGAACATTCACAACCTAAACTAGGATATAAAAGTACAAATACAAAAGTGGTATTTGCAGTCTATTTCTAACAGTGGACAGCTGAGCTGCTGGACAAGGGAGAGTGGTGGTGCTGCGTGCGACAGCTGTGGTGGAGGAGTCTGTTATTGCGACGCGGACATGCGCAAGAAGCTGGGTGAGAGAAGTATTGTCTTTAAAGAAGCAACGAGAGGTCCTTCATAGTGCTGGCTCCTAGACTACAAACAGCAGTTAATAAGAATCAGCAGCACCAGCATACAGAGAATACCATGCCTGATCTATCATAATCATATCCATATCAAAGATAGGAACCCCACGACGAAGCAGGGTGGGCCAGTGAGGTACCTGCACCAGCGGGCCGAACTGACAGCGGTAGAGGTCGTCAAGGGGGCGGTAGCAGCAGGCGGCGGTGTGGCAGCAGATCTGGCCTGCCTGAGGGCCGGTCATCAGCTTGTAAGTGCAAGACTCCGCGCCTCCAAAACCTCCAGCACCCTGGCTCACAGATGAGCCACGCGACCCCCAGGGCACCGACTGCCCTGGGGCCCAACCTCCATGGCCTCCACCACGACCACCACCCCCAGTGCCCGCCAGCCCCCACGGCAGCTGCTCCTGTTGCAACCTCTGCTGCTGCTGCTGTTACGGCCGCTGCTGCTGCTGCGGCTGCTACTGCTGCGCAGTCCCCGACTCCGACTGACCACCCTCTCCATCCAAACCCACACACCCACCACCCGCTGCTGCCGACCCCCCACGCCCCTTGCCCCCCTTGCCCTTGCCCTTGTCCCACTGGTCCGAGGAGGCTGCTGCAGCGGTCTCAGTGGCCGCTGCAACCGAGGCAAAGGCCCCAGAGACAGGGAGCTGGGGGGCAGAGCAGCCCTGAAAGTTGGGGACTGCCTCCGCGACAGTGGTGTCAGGCGATGGCACGGAGGCACGACTCAACCGTCTTCAGAGTGGAGAAGAACTTGGCGATAGTGAGGGAGGTGGGGGGCACACCTAGGATGGCGTCTCGTGCAGGGGCGAGACGGTCAAGGAGGCGTGTGGCAAGGAGGTACAGGGTGAGGTAGGTGGGTGGGAAGTGGGTAGTGCGGTGCTCCTCAGGGCAACTGCATGTCAGCGAGCCTCAAGGGACTGGAGGTGTGCGACCAGGTCCGCTATAGTGGTGAAGGAGGCTAGGTCGGGGAAGAGAAACGGTAGTATCAGACGACCCAGGGTGGCGGAGGACGGGGTGGAGTAGCGAGTGACAACTGCGGCTCAGATACCCTTAGCACTCTCCAGCGTCTCAAAGTGAGTCTGCTCGTCATGGGGGGAGGGCCCTAGTGACTACCAACTGCGCAGCTGCGTCGCAGAACTGCCAGATAGAGAGGGCGGCTAGGGCAGTGTCAAACTCAGTCTGCTGTGCGGACGTTGCGTCAGCAGCAGGAGAAGAGGGCTCTTGGAGGGCAGGTAACATACCCGAAGTGTGGGCCACAAGGCCCTGGTTGTCCTGGCGGATGGACGTGAGCTGGCGACGAAGAGCGACCAGCTAGGCCGAGTAGCCAATCGCGCGACCCTCGGCGTCCAGGCGGAGGACAGCTCCAGGTGGGGTCGCCATAGCGATGACTGGCGGTGACGACGACCGCAGCAGGGAAGGCAGTGGCTACTGCAGTGGCAAGCTGCTGGAGACAGTAGGAGAAGGTTACTAGTGGCGGCAAAAAGAAGCCGCAAGTAGGTGCGACTGGCCGCGGTGGTGGGCCAGGGGAGAGCAGACCTGTGGCGGCAGCACTGTGAGAAGGCTAGCGGCAGCAGCGGCATGGCTGCTGGCTAGCGGCGGCAGCAGAAGGAGCGGCGGTAGTGACGGCTGCAGCGGCAGGGGCTGCAATAGTTGCGGCTGCAGCGGCAGCGGCGGCAGCGGCAGCGGTAGGAGCGGTGGTAGTGGTGGCTGCAGCGACAGTGATGGCAGCGGTAGGAGCAGCAGCAGGGGCTGTGGTAGTGGCGGCTGCAGCGGTAGGAGCGGCGGAAGTGGCAGCAGTGGCAGCAGTAGGACCGGCGGCAGCAGCGGCTGCAGTGGCAGTGACAGTGGCGGGAGGAGCAGCAGCAGTGGCAGGAGCAGGGGCAGCGGCGGCTGCAGCAGTAACGGCCAAAGCAGCGGCAACGGCTGAAGCAGCGGCAGCGGCAGCGGGTGATGGCTGGCGAGCCAGCGGCGAGCTGGCTGGCGGCTGCTGGGGGCTGCTGGCTTGCGAGCCAGTGGCGAGCTGGTTGGCAGCTGCTGGCTGCTGCTGGCTAGCAAGCCAGCGGCGAGCAGGCTGGCGGCTGCTGGGGGTTGCTGGCTGGCGACTGCTGGTGGCTGCTGGTTGGCGAGCCAGCGGCGAGCTGGCTGGCAACTGCTGACGGCTGGCTGGCGGCTGGCTGGCGGCTGTTGGCTGGCGAGCCAGCGGTGCGCTGGCTGGCGGCTGCTGGTGGTTGCTGGCCGGCGAGTGCTGGCAGTTGCTAGCGGTTGCTGGCTGGCGAGCGCTGGTGGCTAGCTGGCCAGCGACTGCTGGCGGCTGGCTGGCAGCGTGCTGGCTAGCTGGGTGGCATGCTGGCCGGCTCTCTAGCTAGCTGACTGGCAAACTGGGTGGCAAGCTAGCTGGCGGCTAGTGGGCTGGCTAGTGCGCTGGCTGGCGAATGAAACGGAATGGGCGCTAAGGTGGGGGGGGGGGAGAGGTGGGGTGGGGTGGGGGATACGAAGCTATGAAGCTATGAAATTTGAGAGCGTGAGGTGCACGAAAAAAAAAGGTGGCGCTAGGGGGAAGCTAACCCTAGCTCTATACCATGTGAAAGTAGCGCAAAAAGGTGACTAAGAGAATTGTCGAGAGAGTACAAGAGTGTGTGCTGTACCCTCTAATAACTGACCTAACTAGGCTATAACAAACCTAACTAACATAGGTATATATCGTTTAATTTTGTGACCAGATCGTTATCGATATTTGAAGCCGTCTGACGGAAATCCGACTGTGCTCTCTATCTCTCATTATAGGCACATCTGAGCCTATTGTGACTATAACACCTAAGACGTATGAGTGCAGGGTGACCTAAGCGGTGGTGCCATATGAGGGTCAGATGGGCGAGGGAGCGACAGGAGTAGGACGAGGTTACCTTAGCAGACACAGCAAACGGTGGGGACTCAATGTGTAGTGTGAAGAGACCTGACGCTGGGTCACACTCAAAAGTGGCTAAGTGGCGACCGGTTGCTGTGTCTGTGAGAGGTACGTGTCTCTTGCGGCTGGGGAACATGGTGGTGACTCCTAAGTCCTAGAGGTGATCTACACCCACTAGGTTCGTGGCAAACGAGGTGATGTACAGAGCAGTGAGGGAGAGTGGTGAGAGTGGTGGATGTAAGAAATAGAGTTGAAATGATTGATTAGGTAAGGAGCCCAAGGCTCTATAGGTACATGGTAAGGTGAGAGAGAATGGATGAAGGGAGAATTGGAGGGAATCCCCATAGGGATCTCCAGAATCTCCAATTGGGTAATTGGAGATTGGGGGGATCAGAATTGGGTGAGGTTGGGATTTGTGAGTACACCCCAACCCACTAGAACATTCACAACCTAAACTAGGATATAAAAGTACAAATACAAAAATGGTATTTGCAGTCTATTTCTAACACACCCCCATAGATTGCAAACCCGGTCAAGGAGCACATAGCCCCATGGAACGGAGAAGGCGATGGTGGTCAGCCTTGCCGAGAGCCTTGGTAAAGAGGTCGGCGAGGTTGCAATCTGAGGCGATGTACCGTACCGTCAGCTGGTCACTCTGAACAAGATCTCGGATGAAGAAATGACGAAGTTCGATGTGCTTGGTGCGAGAGTGGAACACAGGATCCTTGGTGAGGTGAATGGCACTCTGGTTGTCACACCACAGGGTGGGCGACTGCTGGGGGTAGCCTAACTCAGCGAGGAGAAAGGAGAGCCAGCGTGCCTCTTGAGCAGCCATTGTGCCCGCGTAGAGCTCCGCCTCGCAGGACGACAGGGAGACTGCAGAGGACCGAGTGGAGCGCCAGCTGATGACTCCGCTACCAAGGGTGAAGCAGTACCCTTGGGAGGAGCGTCTGTCAGTCTGGTCATCGGCCCATGAGGAGTCTGTGTATCCCTCGAGCTTCACTGGAGAGGTACCACCAAGAGTGAGGATGTGAGACTTGGTGGCTTGTAGATAGCGGAGGACCCTCTTGGCTGCAGACCAATGCGAGGCAGTGTAGCGTCCGGGGGAGACGTACCGAGAGAGGACACTAACCGGGTAAGCCAAGTCTGGTCGAGTGCACATCATGGCATACATGAGTGAATCGACTAGCTCAGGGTACGGGTCCTTGCAGGCGTCAGGAGAAGGAACTGGAGGGGCCGTGAGCTGATGCTGTAGTGGGAGTGGAGTGGAGACAGAGTTACTGGAGTCCATGTCGAACCGCTTGAGAAGGTTGTCGATGTAGGACTCCTAGGAGAGGGCGATCGTGCAAGCCTGGCGGTCACGAGTGATCTCCATCCCCAGGTAGTTCTTGAGGTCACCAAGATCCTTCATGAGAAGAGCGGAGCTGAGAGCAGACTGGACAGCTGCCATGTCGGCTGGATCTCTGGCGGCTAGAATGAAGTCGTCGACGTAGACGAGGATGTAGAAGGGCTCGGAGGAGTGACGAACGAAGAGACTGGAATCTGAGGCAGAGGGATGGAAGTCAAGTGCGAGGAGGACTTCCTTCACCTTGTTGTGCCACTCACGAGGAGCCTGCTTGAGGCCATACACTGGGCGCTTCAGCTTCCACACTGTGTTGGCAGGGTAAGTGCCAGGAAACCCCGGTGGGCGTTCCATGTGAACATCCTCCTTGAGCTGGCCTTGGAGAAAGGCGGAGGAGGCGTCCATGGACTTGATCTCGACTCAAATTGATTGACCTTGCGAGGAGCAGGATTGACCATCCAGCTTGGCAGCTTCGAGGCGGTCCCATTGACGGCATACCAATCGTCATCCTTTTTCTTGAAGCAGGAGGCAAGGGCGTGGTTGGTGCCGCCACACACCTGGCCGGCAAGAGGGCCGCGCTTGAGGACATAGGGACACGGGGGGAAGCGGTTGCGCTGGAATTGCGCCGAAGCGGCATAGGCTTGAGGCACGGGAGCGCGGATTGCATTGGCCTTGGCTTCGGCAGAAAGGAGCCAGCGCTTGCTCTGCCACTGGCGAAGCTAAGCAACTCGTTATCACCCAGCAGCGCGACTTCCTCGTGCTCCATACTTATTAACTGATCACCTAGTTGTCATGGTGGTTGCCATGCTCATATCTTCGCCGTTTTGGTCCTAAGGCGGGTGAGTGCTGCACCCAAACCAACAACCTCCCAGCAAAATGCTTCAAGTCTTACGATGATGCCTCGTTCGAGCGAGGCAACATCGGAACACCTCCCCGCTGGTCTGCCATGCATCTCCGACCCTCCATCCTGGAAGTCAAAACTCTTCCGTCTTTCCTCCCCTCTCATCTTCAGCTCTCCTGGTCCTCCTCTGTCGCTGACCCCATCACGCCACAGCAATTGCAACAGTTCTGCCGCTTCCAGCAGTTGCAGCAGCAGCAACAGCAGCAGCAGTAGTGGGGCTCTGGTGGTCAGGCCGCAGCTGCAGCCACAGGAGGCGCAGCCACAGCAGCCGCATGGCAGCGGCAGCAGCTTGGCTTTGGCATCACCACCATGGCTGCCACTTCCACCACCAGATCCTCGTGCCTTTCCCCTCTATGGTTCTCCTTCCCCTAGCACTCACACCTCCGGTCCAGCTTTTGAGGCGAGCTCACATGCTCTTCCCTTGCTTCCACTTCCATATATCCCTCTGCTTTAATGCCAGTGATTTCCCATACCCTGTGTCTCCTGCTGCATCCTTGCTCACGCTTGACTTCGTTCTTGGTAGTGGTGCCACTGAAACCACGCTCAAAGATGCCGGCACTCTCACTTCCCTACCTTACCCCACCTGCAAGCATGGCATTGGTTCCAACTTCTGAGCCCCTTGCTCTCATCTCTCCACCCTACCCTGCTACCCTTTCCCCTTTGGAGTTGTCACTAGTCTCCACATTCCCTCTCTTTGTCATAACCTCCTCTCCATTCGTGAACTCCAACATGCTGGTGTACCATCTTCCCCGCCTCTGCCAGCTATTGTGAGCTCCTCCATGGCCGCCTCCTTCATCGCCTCCCACTTTGCCCTCGCTCTCGTCAGTACATCCTCAGCACACCCCACCCCTCCACTCCCGCCCCTCCCCTCCCTCCTGATCCGCCTTTTCCCATCTCCACCCCCTCCACATGCTCCTGTCGCGCACTGTCCCACCCCGCTATTCTCATCCACCATTGCCTTGGTCACATGAACTTTCCCGCACTTCGCAAAGGCATCTCCTCCCGCTTGCTTGACAGTCTTCCCCCCACTCGTCCTCCCCTCCCGTCTGCTCCCACTCCCCCTTGCGCCACATGCATTCATGGAAAGCTTAAATGGCATCCTCACCTCAATCATCCTTCCTTTATTGCTGCCCCTCTTGACCTCGTCCATTTAGACCTCTGGAGCTCTAACCCTTCCCCTTTTCACCAGGGGCACCGGTACGTGTCTTTCCAAGTTGATGACCATAGTAGGTACTCATTGGTGTTCCCACCAGTAGAAGCAGTAGCAGCAGCAGCAGAATCAGCAGCAGAAGCAGCAGCAGAATCAGCAGCAACAGCAACAGCAGCACCAGCAGCAGGAGGTGCAGCAGCAGCATCAGCAGCAGCACGTGCAGCAGCAGTGGCAGCCGGAGGAGGAGCAGCAGCAGCCCCAGCAGCCGGAGGAGCAGCAGCCGCAACTGCAGCAGCTGCAGCAGCCGCAGCAGCAGGAGGAGCAACAGCCGAAGCAGTAGCCTTGCCGGCATCACCACACCACTCTCCCTTCATGCTCCCACACGTCAACACTCGCTCCTGTGGCACACTCATCGGCCACCCATGGCCTTAACCCACACCCATTCCAACCTCCCTTCTCTTCAATGAGGACTCCTAGGAGGAGCTCTTTGTTTTCTAGCAGTAAACACCTGCCCCCACGCCTCCATACCCTCGCTTCCTCGGCCTCCTCATTCTTTGCATCCGGCCCCATTCCAATTTCCTCGGGGCCATCACCTGACCAGATGCTACCAAGTGGATCCAGGCTATGTTTGTTGAATGTGAGGCCTGTTATAATCACAATAGGCTCAGATGTGCCTAAAATGAGAGAAACTGTGCACAGTCAGAATTCCATTAGACAGGTTCAAATATTGATGCCGATCTGATCTGTGCCTCAAATGGTGATCTGTAAATTGGATCTGGAGCGCGTTGCTGTTGCCTATCAACAGCAAGTTAAATCATGCAATTCCATAAAGATTTGACGACGCTATGGCGGTTTGACTGGCAGAAGGTACAGTAGCCAATATAGTCTTAGGAGTACAAACTTAGCAAGAAGAGTTCGAGGTAGATTTGGTTCCCAGCCTCTACATACCCCAAGAGCCGAGGTCCAAGTTGGTGGTACACTACCACAGAGTCCCCAACCATGAGGAGACTCGAAACAAACCCACCAAAGGGCTACACCAAGTGAAATGTAACACTACATGAAGTAGCATTACTATTTTCACTATTTTAAATATTTGTCCACGTCCCTTGGGCTTGAAATCTTGAGCTCTTGGTGTTGGATCAGCAAGATCAATTCTTCTTGAGATGATGAGGGCTTGCTGCACACACCTGCAATGAGATGGACACTTCACACTCGACAAAATAGAGAAAGCACATGCGACGCGCAAACGACGACTTGACATGCGAGTTGTGAAAACTCGCTAATGTCTTGACCGACACAAACCACATTGTGATACACCATTCAAACACACACACAAGCACTAGATCGTAATGACATAGACTCACGAGTCATTCCATGCCATGCATGCACACACACAAACAAGGACGACAAGCCGAGTGCAAGCTATAGGGTTGCACTAACAAGGCCTTTATCCCCAATGCCTCCTTCATTGACGTCGTCCCCTCTTCTGACGACGCCATTTTCAAAGGCTTGTGGGTGTTTCGCGTGAAGTAGCTCCAGGGCAAGGAACCTGTCTACAAGGTCCGGTACTGCGCCAAGGGCCATCATCAACTATTGGGAGACAATCGCCCCACTGCCAAGCTCCCCACCCTCCGTGCCCTCCTTGACTATGCTGCCCGCATTGGCATGGAGATTGCATCAATGGATGTCTCCAACACCTCTCTGCAATACAAGTTTCGGGAGAGGGTCCTCCTGTGGCGGCCTCAAGGCTTTCATGCGGCTTTCCCTCCAAACACAGTCTTGAAGCTGCGCCCCCTGGTCTATGGCCCCAAGCAGGCCCCTCGCGAGTGGCACAGCACTCAGGCCGTCACTCAGCAGTCCTTGAGGTTCCTGCCTCTTAGTCTGATGCCAGCTATTTCCTCCGCTCATCTCCCACCCGCCTCTTCATCCTAGTATATGTCAACGACATGATCCCTTTCGCTGACGACGCTACCATCATGTAGCAGGTGAAGGACACCCTGCATGCTGGCCTCAAGTGAAAGGACCCGGGTGAGCTCAAGCACCATCTGGGCATGACCATCACCCGCGACCATGCAGCGCGCACTTTTACCCTCTCCCAGTCCTTCTACATCGACCAGATTTTCCAGCGGTTTATGGCTTAGGTCAAGCCAGTTACCACTCTCCTGCAGACCGACCATCAGCTTGCCCCTCCTGCTCCCTCCTCCTCTGACTATCCTTACGCTGAGCTCATTGACTCGCTGATGTACACTATGATGTGCACCTGCCTCGACCTTGCCTACCGCAAAAGCATTCTTGCTTGCTTCGTCGGTACCAGTCACTACACTGATGAGCATTGGGCTGTAGCGAAAAGAGCCCTCTGCTACCTCCGTCGTACCAGGGACTATGTCTTCACCCTCAGAGGTACCTCTCCTCTCCTCCTCACATGCTTTAGTGACTCCTGCTGGGCTGACTCCCAGCCTGATCGTCGTTCCTCTCAAGGCTACGGCTTCACTCTTGGCAGCGGCCTCATCAGCTGGCACTCCACTTGCTCCTCCTCCATTGCCCACTTTTCCCACCAGGATGAGCTCTACGCTTGCACCATGGCCGCTCAAGAGGCTCTCTTGCTCGCCTTCCTTCTTGCTGATAGTTGTGCTCCTCAACGCTGTCCCACCCTCTGGTGCTAAAATGCCAGCACCATCCATCTCACGAAGATTCTTGGTTTCCATTACCGTGCCAAGCTTATTGAACTCCGGTACTTTTTCGTTCGAGAGTTGGTCCAGCAAGGACACTTGGTAGTCTAAAAGATTGTTGCAGAGGCCAACCTGGCCAGCATCTTCATTCAAGGCCCTCCCGAAGGCTGCGCACTCTGCCCTCCTCCGCCTTCTCGGCCTTTCCCTCGCCTTATCTCATGATTCTGGAGTTGTGCCAATCATACACACTAGCTTTGCATGCGATGGAACCATATTGGAATATTGTTGAGACTGGCCCTGATCCTTCGAAAGCTGTAGAGTCTTTAGAAGTGGGACATTGGCAGAGTTTGTGAACTCTGCCGACGTAAGCTCTGGTACAAAGGCCTATCGATGAAAGAGGCGGCAAATTCTGTTATAAATACATTTCAGATCCCACTTTTGAGTTTGTACAATATATCCTAGTTTAGGTTAGGAATGTTCTAGTGGATTGGGATATACTGATAAAATCCCAACATCACCCAATTGTGAACCCCCCAATCTCCAATTACCCAATTCGAGATTCCGGAGATCCCAATGGGCGCGCGCGCGCTACAAGCGTGGGACGAAAACATGCAGAATGAGGAGATCACCGACCGGTTTTCCCGTGTGGAGAGCAAGCCTCTGCAGGTAAGCTGGAGCTTTCGGTCCCACCTGATATTGCCTCCACATAAATGCGACTCATGTTAGGCTGTTCCCGTGATTAATGATTATTCCCATGTCTTTTAAGATCCCCTTGCATTACTTCGACGTTCCACAGCAGGAGGGGAGCGTGGACTACGGGGTCTATGTCTGTATGTACCTCAGGTTGCTGGTGGAATCCGACATCAAAACCATGGAGGACAGCATCCCACCCGCCAAGTATGGCGCTGAAAAGATGCGGCGCTGAAAAGATGTCGCGCATGCTGAAAAGTACCTGCTCGACGACCTGGGGGCGGCCAAGAAGGTCATCCCACCACAGCACCATGACGCAGCGTCCCTGCCTGAAGATGAAGACGACGACGGTGTCGAGGTGCTGGATCCACGCGACTCACGGCTGAAGGCCCTGGAGAAGGGTGTGAATGACATCGCGGCGGATATGTGCATGCACGAGGCGAAGATCAAGGATTTGGGCGACGTGATGGAGCGAACGCAGAATGAGGTTTTTGACCTCTTACAGGCTGTTCAAACCCTCCAGGGTGAGCTCTCCATCCTTCAAGGGGTCGCGCGCGGGGTGTCGTGAAACCGGAGACGGAAGCCGCAAAAGAGACTCCACCAGGGCCGGGGCCAGTCCAGCAGCCTGCCGGAGCTGTACCGAGGGGGGGCGGGAGCACAGAGGCGGGCGGAAATAAGGAGAATGGCGCCCCCCAAAGCGAACAAGGGAGCCCGGATTCCGTCCACCAACAGCATGAGGGGAAGCACCACGCGGAGGCGGCAGACACCGCGGCTGTAGAGGTACAGAGCACAATGGGAGTAAAGGCACATGGACCAAACACCCACGACCAAGAGATGGCGCTGCTCGCATCAGAGGCCCTAGACGTGATGGCCGACCTTCCAGGGCCAAGTGGGAGAGGGGCTCGGATGAGGAGTGCTGCTACCCAGGCACACAGTGTGTCTGGTGCTTGCCCAAGTGCGTTGAACGTGCCCGAACATTCGACAGGCGATGAGGGGGAGACGAGGGGGGAGTGCACCAAATGGACAGGTGTGAAGCTTGCGAAGCCACCTAAGGGCTCAAGCTGGAACGGGCTCTGGATGGCCAAGATTGTCACCGACTGTCGCCGCAATGCGTGGCACACGTTCGGCAGCAAGTTCAGCTCAGACGTTGCAGCTGCAAAATCCGTCGCAGCGGCAACACATATCCTATGGCCCGAAAAGCCCCCGACTGGGCCCATCATCTCGCTCACTACTGAGGAGATCAGTGCCCTGAGTGGGTCTCTAAGGTCTGTGTGACGTGCAATGGTAGTGAGGAAGTTCTGGGACCAATGGCCTGGATGGGAGGCTGCCTGGAAGGAATGCATCAAGAAGTACGAGGACCAGCAGCAGGAAGAGGGGGCGCTGAGGGAGTGCTGATGCAGAGGCCATGGAAGCCTGGACCGCATTGGCCCACAACACTGCCGAGGAACGTCCTGCAAAGTCACTTAAGACCAGTGAGGATGCAACTGCAGGGGATGCACAGGCGGACACAGCAGAGCCACCGAATGGCATGGGTGCCGCAGACGTCGGTGAGAGTGTTGGCAACACCACAACCAACAACTAAGCAACATAGTTTAGGGGAATGGATTTGGTTTCGGTAGTTTAGGGGAAGGGGTTTGGTTCAAGGCGGTGTGGCTATGGGGGGCGCTTTACATGCAACAGTTTCCTTAGACGGTATGCTGGGGCAGAACGGGTCAGACTGGAGAGTATGCATTACTGAACTCTTAGCTAAATAGCTAAAGTTTCAACAACGTGAGGCAATGTATGCAAGCCCTTGTTAGTCCCATGGAAGTCCCACGTGGCATGGATGTCTCATGGACGTCCCATGGGAGTCCCATCAATGTCCAATGGAAGTCCCATGGACGTCCCGTGGGAGTCCTATGGAATTCCCTTAAAAGGCCTATGGGAGTCCCATGGAAGTCACATGGAAGTCCCATGAGAGTCCGATGCGAGTCCAATGGAATTCCAATGGAAGTCCCATGAGAGGCCCATGAGAGTCCCATGGAACTCCATTGGAATTCCCATGGGACTCCCATGGGAGTCCCATGGAAGTCCAATGGAAGTCCCATGGGAGTCCCATGGGATTTCCATGGAAGTCCGATGGAAGTCCCGCGGGAGTCCCATGCGATTCCCATGGAAGTC